TTCTCCCCCCCCGCAGGAGAGGGGCGGCGACGTTATCGAGTCGAGCTAAAAATTGGCGAACCCCTCCCGAGAAAGTTTGGGGGCCCCCTCCAGTAGGGAACATGCATTTTGCCCCGGGAGGTCAGTAGGCGTTCACCACCATTTTGCGTTGGGCCCTGGGTGCCCAAGGCGGAGGGGCGAGTGGGGGGAGTCCATTTGGCTTCCACGCCGTTGTTTTGGCCGCCCAAGGTTGGGTTCAATGAAGTTTCCCACGCCCCCGGAGGAGACGCTGCTGGTTCAGGAAGGCCAGCATGCGGGTGGGCGAGCGGTCGCCCCCGCCGCTGCTGCCGGCCACCATGGAGAACTGGTAGGAGCCAGAGGACGCACCGTAGTAGAGGTGGTAAGGGGACGGGTTGGTCTGGAAGGGCCCGCTCTGGTTCTGCGGGGCCCCAGGGTACGGTGGCGGGAGGTAGGTGGGGTGGAAGCGGCTGGTGGCGGGCATGCTGGCCACGCTGAGGCTGCTGATGCTCGTGCCCGAGGGCGTGGCGCTGTAGGGGAAGGCCGCGGACATGGTTCCCGGGTAATGCATCCTGGGGTCCGGGAAGCGGCTGTCCGTGAGGGTCTGTAGCGCTGGGAAGGAGCGGTCGAACTGGCGGGGGTCGGAGAAAGGGTTCAGGTCCGAGGTGCCTGGGGGACAGCAAAGAGGACCATCAGTCGCAGCTGGACACCACCCCAGCAGACTACTTCTTTTTTTTTTTTTAATAGATATTTTTAATTGATTTCAGAGAGGAAGGGAGAGGGAGAGAGAGAGATAGAAACATCAATGATGAGAGAGAACCATTGATCGGCTGCCTCCTGCACATCCCACACTGGGGAATGAGCCTGCAACCCGGGCATGTGCCCCGACCGGGAATCGAACCGTGACCTCCTGATTCATAGGTTAATGCTCAACCACTGAGCCACACAGGTGGGCCCTAGCGGAATTCTTTAAGAATGTCCTTGGTTAAGGGGGTCAAATACAGGGTGACAGGAGGAGACTGGGTTTCGGGTGGTGAGCACACCATAGAGTATATTACAAAGCTGTATGCCTGGAATGTATCGATCTTATTAACTAATGGTACCCCAATAAATTAAATTTAAAAAGAAGCTCTGGCTCTGCTCTTACTGCCTTGGCTGCTGGGGGGCGGGAGCCCTCCTGGCCTGGTAACGGTCCTGCCTGGGAAGCAGGTGGGCAGGTACCCGGGCCGAAGGAGGCCACGGGCGCCTCCCGGGCTGATAGGGAATGGGGGCTCCTCTCTATCTTCTGGAATCCTCTTCACAGCCTGGCAGTGCAGAGGCCTGTTGGGGGGAGGGGGCGTGAAGGTGGGCCCCCACCAGGGACAGTGCTGGTCTGGCCTGGCAGCTTCTGCCTCCCTCTCTCCTGTTAAGAGCTGGCAAGCCTGTGGGTGCGGAGAGGGTCTGCATGGCCCTGTGAGAGGGATCTGGAGCCTGCTTTTTCAGATAGGGAGGCTGAGGCACAGGGGAAGATTAATTTCCTGGATGTTGCAGAAAGGACTCAAACTCCTCATGGGACCTCTGCCTTCTGCTTTGCTGGGCTGCTGTGCTGCCCGCACCTCTCCTGCCGGGGGCTTGGTGCGGTTCTGTGAGCTGATCCCTGTGTGGTGGGGTCAGGCCCAGAGGATGTGTGCCGCCCCCCCCCCCCCCCCAACACCTCACCCTGGGCCTGTGTCTCAGGGCTGCCTGCATCTCCCTGGCAGCCAAGTGAGATGGCAGCCAGAGGGCCTTGGTGGCCTAGACCCTGCCCTTGCCAAAGAGGCACCAGTGTCCAGCCCAGGTCCTGCCCCTGCTCCTCCAGTTTGGCTCCGCACTGGACTCCAAGACATGGGCATCTGAGCCTCTGCCCCCTACGTTTGCATTCACAGACCCCCAAACCTCAGCATCCCAAGGGGCTCTGGGATGGAGGCTAACGCCCTCGGCAGGAAAACTGAGGCCCAGAGAAGGTGAGGCACTTGCCTAAGGGTCACACAGAGCACCGGACCTGGCACAAAACCCCAGGGTTCCAGTCCTGAGCCCCATATGGGTCTGAGAGGCAGCTGTCCCGTCTCTGAGGCAGCACAGCACAGCACAACGGTTAACTGTGTGGCCTCTGCAGCTGGGTATCTGATCGGCTTCTGACACTTACTTGCTGTGTGTCCTTGGGCAAGTCCCTTAACCTCTCTGTGTGCCAACCTTCCCACATGAAAAATGGAGACAGTGACAGATCCTAGGAATTAAATTAGTTAATGCATGCACAGTGCTCAGACTGGGCACAGAGTGGGGCCTGATGAGGGTTGGCGCTGCTGCAGCGGCTGTGACAGTCTTACGCTGGGCTCCCAGGACACCCATTCAGGACCCTGCAGAGGGATCCCCTGACCCTGAGCCTTCCTTACGTCCTGGCCAAGGGGTGACTCTGGCAGCAGTGGGGGGTAGATGAGCCCCCAGCAGTGGGGGGTGGGTGAGCCCCCAGCAGTGGGGAGGTGGGTGAGCCCCCAGCAGTGGGGGGTGGATGAGCCCCCAGCAGTGGGGAGGGGGGTGAGTCCCCAGCAGTGGGGAGTGGGTGAGCCCCCAGCAGTGGGGAGGGGAGGTGGGCAAGCACCTAGCAGTGGGGAGGTGGGTGGGCGAGCCCCCAGCAGTGGGGAGGGGGGTGGGCGAGCCCCCAGCAGTGGGGAGGGGGGTGGGCGAGCCCCCAGCAGTGGGAAGGTGGGTGGGCGAGCCCCCAGCAGTGGGGAGGGGGGTGGGCGAGCCCCCAGCAGTGGGGAGGGGAGGTGGGCGAGCCCCCAGCAGTGGGGAGGTGGGTGAGCCCCCAGCAGGGGTCCTGAGGAAAAGTCTGTCTGGCGCCAACCCCTCTATGCCACCCACCAAAGAGGATTCAGGGAGACCAGCCTCTGCCCCTGGGCAGCTCCAGGCTGGCACTGCCACTGTGACTGAGGCGTGGCTGAGCACCGACAGCTGCAGGGGCCCTCAGGTCTCCTGCTTCTCAGATCTGCCTGAGGTGCTGTGACCTCAGGTGAGACCTGTAGGTTCTCTGGGCTCTGGGCTCTGCTTCCTCAGCAGCGGGCTCGCGCTGGTCCTCGCTGTGGGTCAGAACGGAAGGATGCTCCCTGCTGAAGGTGGGGGGCTTGGGGGCAGGGGTCCTCCTGGAATGTCTGGTACCCTCCCTACTGGGCTCCTTGGCTGGTCAGTGCTGCCTTGAAGCCTAAGGGGCCAGAGGTGCCTGGCTCCCCACCCTCAGGACCCCAGAGGCCTCGTTGGCACTGCCTGGCGCCCCAAACACAGCCAAGCACGAGGCTGACCCTTCTGCTCTGAGCCCAGGAAGTGAGTGCTGTCCACTGACAGGAACCCCACTCTCAAAGTGAAAGACCCCAAACAGGGACCCCAGGATGACACAGCAGGGCTGCGGCCCAGGAAACAGGCCGGGCAAGGTGGATCTGGTCTGGTGTACGCGGCCCTTGGCGTTCACGTGGGCTCCGGGCTCTGAGCAGGGCCTGCCCAGACGGCCTGTCCCCTCCTGCCCCCCCCCCCCCCCCCGGCGATTATAGGATTCCGCGACTTCATAACTACCGAAACCCGCAGCAGCCCCCACGATTC